CCATGACAAAATGAGACTGTGTTGGTGTGCCCAGCTATGATGTAGATACACAACTAAGACGACGACTTATCACTGTTTGAGAAATGAAGAGCTTTTCACTGTCAAATGGGCTAGCGATAGAAAATAAAGAGACATTTGTGATAGCCACTTAAAATGAGCAACTAAATTTTCTTTCAGTCATAGTCGCGAGCTCTTTGATTGAACACTAAATTACGGCAAATATCACGCCAGCCGCTAATCAAAAATGCCCACAAACGATGAAAGCGCACATAAGTTCAATGCCGACGAGCTACAAGCGCCGGAATGGATAAATGATGATCTTTTTGCGAAAGTCTTGGCGAACTGCGAAAAGAAGGATAGCCAAATAAAAATCAAAAGTACAAAAATATCTCCAGCCTCCATGAAGGGCGACCACTATGCGAGCGTGATGTTTCGCGCACAGCTACAATACCAGCTGGACGGCGTAGACAAGGCGAGATCTGTGATCTTGAAGACAATGCCGGAAACGGAGGGCCACAAGAAAGATATGCTGGGCAAAACAGATATTTTTGAAAAGGAGATTATTATGTATACAGAAGTGATACCGCGATTCGAGAAGGTTTTGCGCGATATTGGCGATAGTACTGTGCTCAAAGCAGCGTAAGTGCTTATCGCATGCATTAGGTTTGTTGTTGTTTAGATTTGATTGCGAATTTCTGCTTGCAGCTGTCTTTATTACTCTTTGAGTCCGAGGAAGGTAATTGTTTTCGAAGACCTTGTGCCCGTCGGTTATGAGGTGGTGCGAGATCGCCCACTAACAGAGGAAGAGGTGAAAGCAGCGTATGACAAGTTGGCTAAATGGCATGCCATAAGCCATAAGATAAATTTGGAGGTTACTAATCGGATTTATTTTTTTTTATTCTAAGACGAAAATATTTCAGTATTCATTTTCCCACAGGATCCGCATTATTTCGATAAGTTTTACCAAGGCGTATTCAACATGTCCGCCTTAGCGAAACAGGATTTTGTGATACGAGGAATTACGACATTCATTGAAGTGCTAAGAGAAACACCCTCGTTGAGCAAATATGTGCCCTACTTTGCGGCCGTAGAAGCAACCACCTTCCAACAATGTCGCGCCTCCTTTGATGAGTATCGGAAATCGCCCAAGCCTGGCGCTTTCTATGTGCTTTGTCACGGCGATTTTCATTGCAAGAATATGATGTTCAAACATAACAAAGAAACTGGCAAATTCGAAGATGTAATGTTACTGGATTATCAAGTCGGATATGTCGGTCCCATCGTGATGGATTTGATATATTCAAAGTATTTTATTTTGGATGAGCATCTCCGTTTGGAGTTTCCAGCGCTTGTGTACCGCTATTTTACTACTTTGACGGGCACTTTGAAGAAAATAGGCTTCGAAGGTGAGCTGCCAAAACTCGCAGAGATCCATAAGCAGTTTATGCGTCACAAGCACTTTGGTAAGTAATAGTTATTTATAAAGTAGTTACATACTTTGGCGCTTATTTGCTTGACGCTTTGTCAACAACTACGTTTTTTTTTTTGATTTTAGAGCTATTTCTCTTAACCACTTTTTTGCCTATGTGGATGGCAATGAAAGATGATATCGATATGGATTCGGTGATGACATCTGAAGAGTATCGTCGCAATTTATGTAAATCTGCAGAATATATAAAGTATTTGGAAAGTGCTTTGCCTCGTCTCTTGCATCTGGGTTATTTTGAAGATTAAAGCTTTTTCAATTAAATTAATAGGAAAAGTAATATGTACGTATGTATATATGTATGTATATATAGCACATATTTCGCAATAATAAATTTATTTTTCTCTATATACTAAATTGAATTTTACAATTTGGATTACGCGAAATACTTTTTTCAGTGTTCATCAAGAACTAACCCACTGTCTTTGCTATGAGTAGAGACTAAATGAGTCAATTGTTTTATTTATTTACTTGTGTATACACACTAGAGTGGTCGACATTTAGTATGGGGAAAAATTTTCATCATAAAAAACGGGGCACCCCCTTAGTTGTTTCCTTTTTATTTTTGCAATATCTATACCAGCTTTCAATTTCCTACTGTAACGAGTACAGGGTGCTCAATAACGTCGAAATGTGCTACTGCATCGCTGTGAAACTGGCAAAAATATTGGTGATTTTTATAAAAAGCTACTGTTGCCGCGACAGCTGAATCTTGTGATGTTTTTTTCCATAGTTGAAATTTGAAATGTTCTTAGGTTGTTTAGCCAATTGTTTGATTAATATATGTACACAATACTCCTAGAGTAAAATATGTACATCATGGGCATCCTCTTAATTTATTCTAAGAAATGTTAGGTTTGGTACCAGGACCTCTTTCGGCAAGAGGAAAAATACTGGAAGGGGCCCCAAATCCTCTCTCAGAATAAAATTTTTTGAACCACGCTAATACACACGCTGCTTCGTTATTTCTCTGATTTTACTTATCGTTTTTCATCTGATTAGTGTAAATGGGCAATAAGTTGGCGGAACTTCTTATCAGGCAGGCGTAAATATGGGGTGCTATTAAAGAGTAAAATCGAAGATAAATATGAGCAACGTAGGAGCCAGAAATATTGCAGAGTAGCATGCGTGGAGATATATAAATTACAAGATTACATTAAATTACATATTTATGTATTTTTTCTGCGATTTTCAGCTTTCTTATTTAATCTATATCTATATACATAGTATAATGTTAAGTCGGGATTCTTTGAACACGCTAACCTCGAACACTATTAAACGGATTCGGAAGAGATTTCTTCTTATATATTCTGTATCGATAGGGGGTATTTAGAATTTCTGTAGGGTTGCCACCTGTCTAAAAAATTATAATATCCGCATCATTGTCAAATGAAAGGGATTTTCCTCCAGATAAACAGTAATGTGTAATTTTTTTGATAAGCGAAGGTATCAGTGTACAACGTCACTAACAAATCAAAAAACTTAGCCTATAGATGTGCAATAATCTATTATATTACTGTTTAGAGTTGTCACCTGTCCAAAAATTATAAGCTCGTCACTATCGTATGTACAAAAACTTTTAGTTTTTTGAGTAGGGTTACCTATTTAAAAATTACTATTTTATCCTTTTATAGTATAAAGCAAAGCTGAGATTTTTGACCACGCCATTCTCCAAAATTACTAAATGGTTTTGTTTAATATAACCTACATCGATAGGAATATTAGCTTTTCTACTTAGAACTTCTATAAGTTTGCCACCTGTATAAAAAATTTAAAGATCCGTTCGTTGAATTACACAGAGTGAGACGGAAGATGAAAGATCTTGGCCTCTTAACGTTCAATAATGTGTAGTTGTCATATCTACACTATTCGTTGAACTAAAAAATTAGTTACCAAGAGAAAGGTTATGATGTCCGGATGTGCAATAAGCTTTTTTTTTTTTTTAGAGGGGTTGCCACCTATTTAAATAATTCTACCTTACATATAATACGTGAATGCGTTTTTGGTTAATGACATCAGCTTTGCACAATTCGTCCATTTATAAAAAGTGAGGTGTCTAATGAAAGAGCTTGACCTTCAGAAGTGCAATAAGGTTTGAATTTTTTCAAAGAGGGTTGCCACCTGAACGAAAAATTATAATATGTGGGCTATTCATTGGACTAAAAAGTGTGTTGTCAAATGAAAGGACTAGGCCTTCCGATGGGAAATAAGGTTTAATTTGTATTTAATAAAGAAGCCGCCGTCTATGAGCGGGCTATGTGGCACCGCTATAGGGACCTGAAGAGGGAAGTAAGACGTGTTTGCCACAATAAGAAGAGACAGGCCGAATTACGTGAATGCGAAGAGCTTGAAATGCTGGCCGACCTGGAAGAATGCCTGAACAGTTTACCAGAGAGTTAGGCAACTTACGGCAGGTTGCAAGCCAGCGCGTACTCCTGTCAGAACAACTATGGCAACCTAGTTGCCGATGTTCAGAACATACTCAAATTATGGAGGGAACACTTTTTCTCCCTTCTGGATGGTAGCAGCACGGAAAGTTATGGAGAAGAAGAACCCGGGCTCCAAGTCGATGATGACGGAGTCGATGTTCCTCCGCCTGACTATGACGAGGTATAGGTATAGCAATAACGCGGCTGAAAAACTACAAAGCTGCTGGAACTGACAGCTTGCCAACTGAGCTGTTCAAGTACGGTGGCGAGGAGTTGACGACTGGAATTTAAGTGTGCTCTGCCCAATCCACAAGAAGAGTGACCCCGTCAATGAACTGATTGTGCCTTATCAGTGCGGCTTTAGGCCTGGAAAATCCTTCACAGACTAGGTATTCACAATACGCCAAATCTTGGAAAATACCCGCGAGCTTTCGACAGCACTAAAAGGAGTTGCTTATACGCCGCTATGTCTGAGTTTGGCATCCCCGCCCAACTGGCACAGCTGTGTAAAATGGCGTTAAGTAATACCATTAGCGCCGTCAGAATTGGAAGAGAATAATTCTATTTAACTTTCGCTAATGTGAAATTTTAAATGTACTACCACTAAAGGCCTAAATACGGGAAGGCTAAAATACGAGAGAAAATTACACCACAAAGTACTCTCAGTTGACAATTTATATTTTAGAATAATTTTCAAGTCGTGAACAAATTCTACTCCCTTTGACTGCACCTGCCAGCGTTCTTCTTGTTGAAATTAAATCTCACTTAAGCATTTTCCGAAATTCGAGTAACAGTCATCAAATCAAGTTTATCAAGTCCCAACACGGGCCAATTTTGAAATGTAAAACGATTTTACTTTAACGAATGGAGGCAGAAACCTCTCCCATGAGTCCATACAAACCAATATTGATTTATAAAGGCCTGCGTGTGTTCACTGACCATTTGTCCATGTGCGTTCATTGCAGTTGGCATGCGTCCGATTCGTCGACATTTGGAACATTGGAGCACACACAACATTTGTCGGCCACTCTCAGCTGCCCAATTCAACGTCGAAAGCAGCTGCCAGCAAAACTGTCATGCGTTTCAATGCTTGGCAGCAATGCGTTCTGTTTGAGGCGCTTTGACTCTTTCATAGAATAGATTGCGACGAGGGCTGCGGGGGGAGGGGGGTTTCGATTCGCATGGAAGTTGGCAATCCAGCACGAGTGGCTCTACTCAAATTTAACCGCATTTTAATATCCGACGCCTTTGTGCCGTTTTCTATACATAAATACATACATACATACATATATAGATATATGTACGAATATGCGATTGCCAATGTATTTTGGTTTCGGTTTTGATTTCAGCTTCAATCGAATCAAATAGTGAGCAACCTGGGACAAACGGATGTGAACAATGGAGACACAATTGCGTGGCTAACGACAGGCAATCATTGCTGAAGTTTTGGGCTGAAAGAATTGAATATTGCACCATTGCACAAAATGGCAAAATGGTATACACTGTTAGTAACCCTGTAATTTTGTGCGTATATATGTATGAATGTTTTCTCAGTTGTTTAATATGACAAATGTAAAGCAAATTGCAGTGGCGGATACAGGTTTTTGTTTTGGGGAGGAGCGATTGGGATCGACTTGTCGAATAACGTTAACTTACAGGCACCTAACTTGATTTACAGCGGAGTGACCAATCGAAGCTATATGACCTACCTGCCTACCTGACCTGCGCGAACCCTCATTTATTTTTTCACGCAAATAGAGGTTCTAGGAATTTTTATGAAGTCCGAATTAAAATGTTTTGTGATATAATTTTACTTTAAGTAAGTTTGATGTTGTGAATTTGGCGCAAGGTCCATTTACAGAGTCGCATTTAATAAAACAATTATACTTTTTTTGTAAAAAAGCACAAGATTAACAGTTATGCTCTGGGTTTATTAAAGCAGTATATTACATAAATAATTATTTTTTGCTTGTAATGTTTGTCAAATGAGGGATGTAGTTAAGTAACTTAACAACTTATTCGGAATTTTGATTATAATAATTTAAATTGAAAACTAAATTTTGCGCTTTCCTTTTGGGAATCTTTTTATTATCCGTTCAGTGTCAATTTCAATATCTAAGGGCCAGTTTCAGTGGCAGTTTAAACTTAGAATACGTAAACTGAATTTAAAATGAACAGCTGACTGACATTTGACTGGCTAATCTTAGTTTAAACCACGACCATGCACTGAAAAACTGGTTCTAAGTGTACGTTTAAAAGTGCTAGACCTATCAGTCGTTTTTCATTCATGGTACTATGGAACCATGTTTTTAACCGGCGAAGGGTAACTTCTTTCTGAAGAAGCTAGAAGTGTAATCAGAAAACGGAGAAGTTTGTTAATCAACGGAAAAGTATATTCGTCGTCCCATTTACCAAGAAGTTCTGCTGCTGATTTTAGGTGTGGCTTTTCGCTTACCTCACTGATAATTTTATATGTATGGCAGTAATAGTTCAACTCAAAAATGTTTATGTAATGTATATTTCGGCGATCTTTCTCGGAGATCGAGCTAAATATTATGCAATAACGGTATAAATATTACGTTTCGATAATAATCGAAAATTTTATCTATCCGCTCTCCGAGGAAGGACAATGTCCAAATAGTATAGGTAATTCCTTAGCGATATCGGTAACTAACGCGGCAAGCGCTTTTTCTACGCATTTCGCTGTCATCCCCCCTACGAATGTCTGGTTACACAGTTGAATGTGAAATTTTCTACATTCACCGCGGGAATAGACAAAAAGTAGTACCAAAAATTTTGTTTCGACATGCATACATATATTTTGTTCTTATCAAAACTTTACGACACTCACATATTGGCAAGATTTCACCATTTATTTTAAAATTCTTTAATTTTA